AAATATCTATCTAAGTATATATCCTGTGTACAAACAATTTCCAATCCCAACACGTGCACAGTATATCCAGGCCGCCTTGTTTATCAGTCTATGTCCTCATGTTATAAGCAATGCGGCACTACTCACTACCTATGGCTGATCTAGGCCCTACTACTTCCAATGCAAACACTGCACTAGGTGATATACACCACTAGCTAGAGCCTTCGTCGTACAGTACAGGCTATGCATTCACACAACAGTTTAAAAAATATCTAGCACACGCAAGTAAAGCCTGCAGCTGATATGTCATACTGTCCAGACAGAATGTTGGGTTCAAAGTCCCTTTTTTTTTTTTGAAGCAAATAGTTTTGTATTTGCTCTCCGATTGTTGGGTGCGATACCGGCGGGGGGAGCCGGGGACCTAATTTAAAGATATTGATTGACGTAAATATGTAGCCTGACTAGCCTCAATACATATTTATTTCGTAAAAACGGATGTATAAACCTATTTTCATAGCCTTCTGAATTATTATACAGAAGGCTATGATACTTTCTAGAAGCACAAATAAGCGTTCACGTTCTATTATTAAAAATCGGACCCCCTGGCGACGGCGTTTATTTTTTATCGCAAAACTTGGGGGGGGGGGGGGGGGGGTTTGTTGTATAATAGAGTACACAAAAAGTACTTTGAAAAAAAGTAACAAAACAAAACTAGCGAGGTTGTAACTTTTTGGGGCATTTGGGCTTCACACGTATTTTCTTAAATTTACCTATTCTATTTCTCAAAGTTATATTTAACTCTCGCGGGGTTCAGGGTTCCTGACTTCCCGTCTAATCTCAATCCGTTAAAAGGATTCGATTTAAAAGCGTTAACCTTAAATTTCAAGCGTTCAACGTAATAGCATATTGTTCACAAATACAATATCAATGCATACATGATTATACGTTTATCGTAAAACGTATTGAGGTGTGCCACCCGTTGACTCGCTAAGGCTTTTAGGCTTTTCCGAGTTAAAATAAAAGCGATTTTAAACCAATCAACGAATGTGGCAACATGACAACGAGCACGTTGTAATATTATTATTGTTTTACTGATAATTATATATAACGCCAAATGTTAATACATACATACATACATATGTACATACAAAGCTTGAAAAATATAAAAAGCTTTATCACATATTTATATAGCCTTCTAAATTACAACCAGAGCGCTATGATACATCCGGCACGTATAAACATATCTATACTCACGTATACATACATACATATGAGAACATGGATGTATATATGTATTCACACTATCAATATTTTACATTGTATGAACAGTCCCATAAAAGTTCGTATATATTTAGATGTATATTCACATACATCTAAATATCGCCATATTACAATATTCAACATATTGATAATCTTCTGTATTTTTTTTTCTTACTAAGAGCGCGTGCGTTTAGCTATGGTTTCATAGGCACTCATTTCTTTGGGATTGTATGCAGTCGTTCAATCATAAGGAAAATTTTACAATGCCGCAATTCTAGTATGGATAAATTCATGTAGGCGATATGTGAAGGCTCACATATTGCTTACTTGAATGTTTTTACATAAAAAGTGCAAACTGAGCGACAACATAATGCATCACGTTCACTGCAAAGTAACACTGATATGAAAAACCATACCGATGCAGGTAGAAAACTAAGAGTACTGTCATCATTCCCCTGTAGAAGTACCGTTATCTAACTCGGAGGCAGATTTGTCATGGCTGCCAATCAAAATGCGAAGGAGAGTCTGAATAGTTGATGGCTCCAAATTATTTTGAAACCCTAGAATCAATCTTCAATCACGGAACACCAAACAAAAACTCAAAGTTGTAAGTGCGTTTCGTGCTTTATCAGTTCTACTTTAAAGGCTAACCAGTATTTAGTCGAAGGATCCTGGGCATAGCTATTCAAGTACTCCTTTTTATTTATTTAACACCATCACCAACGAGATCACTGCTTGCATTGTATTGTCTCAGAAACTTACCACAGGAAGAAGCATAATCAAATAAAAAATCGATTCACGTGTTGTAAACAACTTTATGTAAGATTTAACGGGGGCTTCAGCTCACGCGATGCCAGTCACGCTTATGCATACTTGCGAAATTGGCTTGACACAGGCACGTAATTAAAGCTGGATACGCCAACGCATACTAAAATACTCGGTTCAGGTGACAATTTCGATGAGTTAATTTCGAATTCAGAATAACACAGCTATCGCCGAAAAGCGCATAAATCGTGTACGGACTATCTACTTTAGTTTGTGATTTATTATAAGGATATCAGCTATGCACTATTTCCATATTACTTTCCATACTTGTTCACCTTGCCAAATCTGTTATGAATTTCATGTTGTAAAGCTCAAATCTACTCTGTATTTCTTATCGTATATGTATATAATTTCCAGCTCTACAGTAAACCATTTCGGCGGGCATACATTCGTATATATATATATATACATATATATGTGGGTGTGTGTACGTGTACACATATATATATATATACATACATATATATATACATATATGTATATATATATATACCTAAACATATTAGACGACGACTTTACGTTCCGTTATATAATTGGGAGTTTTATTCAGAAGTCTTGCTCTATTCTAGGCGGCCAGTCCATCTCCACATCCGCTACGTCGAGGTCGGAGATATCACAGTCGCACTTCAGAAACGTTGACAGGTTGGGCACAGTTCGACCTGAAAACACAACAGAAACAGAAGCAGTACGTATGAATACCACTTTATATTACACACATACTACAGAAACAGAAATATTACGTATAAATATCACTTTGTATTACGCACATTATATATTACACAAATGTGTAGATTATGAGCTTAGATTCAGACTATTGAAAGCACAACTTTACACTTGTTCGACATGAAGCTGAATATATAAAGTGGCCGGTATCTCGATAGATGGCACTTCTACCTACGTATCGAATAGTCGCTTTTTCAACAATACTCTTAAAAAAAAAACGTCGTGAATTGAGGAGCAGTAGCCCACGAGTGTGTTGCACCGCCGTATCGCTAATGCAATATGTTCTACGGTTTGCAGGGGTTTCAAACCCTAAACCTATATATATATATATATGCGTGTGTGTGTGGTGTGCGTGTGTGTGTGTGTGTAAAATCCCTAGAAACCCTAAACCCACAATCCACTACCCAGTCAGAACACCATGTGCACATGCGCCGACTCTATCAATACCACTGTGTTCCAAAATCACACAAATTTTTGACAGCGTTGATTCAATTTGTAATATCTCGTTTCGGGACAGAAATACCGAATTCTCACAAATAACGCATGCCCAATACTCAAGTCAAACGCACATATCAGATTTAATCGTACGATGCTCTCATTGTGCTATTATACAAATACACACCATACACACTACTAGCATATACGCACACTGTACCATAGCACACCCCACAACGGCACATAGCACAAGCACATACCCTTGCATAGCGGATACAGATACCATGGCCCAGCTTACAAAGACACTACTACTTAGCATACACACACACTACTACTTGGCATATCAGTTTTTAGATCTACTACTACTTAGCATGTAATTTATTAACCTATAGGTATACGACTACTCAGCATATCAGTTATAGATCTACTACTACTTAGCATGTAAGTAACTAGCCTATAGATACACTACTACTTAGCATATATACTACTTAGCCTATAGATATACTACTATATAATATATATACTATTTAGCCAATAGATATACTACTACTTAGCATATATACTACTTAGCCTATAGATATACTACTATATAGGAAATATACTATTTAGCCTATAGATATACTACTACTTAGCATACATACTACTTAGCCTATAGATGTACTACTATATAGGATATATACTATTTAGTCTATACATATACTACTACTTAGAATACATACTACTTAGCCTATAGATATAGTACTATTTAGCCTATAGATATACTACTACTTAGCCAATTGATATACTACAATATAGGATATATACTATTTAGCCTATATACTACTACTTAGCATACATACTACTTAGCCTATAGATATACTACTATATAGGATATATACTATTTAGCCCATATATGTACTACTTAGCCTATAGATATACTACTATATAGGATATATACTTTCTAACCTATAGATATACTACTACTTATCATATTTACTACTTAGCCTATAGCTATATTACTATATAGGATATATACATATTTAGCCTATATCTACTATTAATAGTATACATACTACTCAGCCTATAGATATATACTCCATGCCCATCACATCCCACATACCAAGATCTCCGTGACAGAACTCCTTGATGTAGGTGCCTGCTTGGGTCGTCAGAGTCAACAGTCCGTTAAACGGACTCGTGAGCTGCAGATGACTGGCGTAGATCATCCGTGGCCGTGTCAGCAGTGGCCGTCTACAAAGGTTGGGGCAGAGTGTTTGAGTAAAGGGTATACTCGCGCGTACTGTATATATACATTTTTGTATATAGTTGTATGATTAGCGGGTACTGTATGTTTACGTTTTTGCATACAGTTGTATGACTAGCGGGTACTGTATGTTTACGTTTTTGAATACAGTTGTATGACTAGTGGGTACTGTATGTATACGTTTTTGTATATAGTTGTATGACTAGCGCGTACTGTATGTATAGATTTTTGTATATAGTTGTATGACTAGCGCGTACTGTATGTATACGTTTTTGCATATAGGTGTATATGTGAATGCAGCATGTGATCATGCATATATGTTACAGAGTACTGGCGTAGATCATCCGTGGCCGCGTTTTTGCAGTGGCTGTCTACACAGGTTGGGGCAGAGTGCGTGAGTAAAGGGTATGCACGCGCGTACTGTATGTACACATGTTTGTATAAATACACATTCATACCCTTTACATACACATATATATGCAGTACACACACATGTGTTTGTTTACCTACACACACCTGTGTAGCACACGCACGGGTGTCTGTTGTTGTATTAAAAACTCGCCCGTCTCGTTGAGGGCCTTGATGGAGTCGTCTGTCTGAGCCTCAGCAAAGGTGACGGTGGCCAGGTACTTCTTGCGCTTGTCCGAGTCATCTTCCCTATTCCTAAGCGTCTCTTCTTTTGTGACTACCTGAAACGTGTAGGGATGTGCGCATGAGTGATGTGTATGTGATATAACGTGTGCAGTTATACGTTGGTTATACTATATAACGTATGCAAACACAGACTGTATATATATAACCTAAGGTATGTACACACTCGTTGTATATACAATACCAATTATTCAAAAACACAGCGTGCCAGAAATGACGGTGGCTATGTGCATGGGTGTGATATACACACATGGATATGACCATACTTGATTGTGTACGTTGTGTCGTATAGCTTACAAGGCGGTGTGCATGGTTGTGGTGTACATGCACGCGCGCAATAAGGTTTTCTATAGTAATGATGTTACCAATGCAATTGAACTCAAAAAAAGTGTGTATAAGAATTCAGAATATCATACACTTACATAAAGGACTATAGTAATGCAGTTACCACAAGTATGAGCGCATATATACTCAGGTGTGACTGTGAAGCAAGTATATATATATATATATATATGTATATACATATATATTACACCTCGATGTATGTACACACACACACACACACACACACACACCTGGATGTCGTTGATGCGCATGTCAGAGCATGACTCGTTGACTGTGCGTTGTAGTGTGCTGAGCATTGCAGTGGTCATCTGTCGTTTGGGGTTGACGCACTCCATCACAAACGGTCGCCCACGGCCCAACATGCGAACATCCACATCCTCACGACCAGACGATGAGAAGACCACAGAACTAGGCGGGGTTTTAGGGTTTTAAAGTTTTAGAATTTCAGGTATGTGTGTACGCGTGTGTGCGAGTATGTAACAATGGGTTCGAAACTTCATAGTATGGGTATATATATATATATATATACATATACATATAAACACACACACACACACACACATATATAATATACATACATATATATACATATATATAAATATGTATATATATATTAATATATATATATATATAAATTATATAAGTCGTACTACATTCCATTGCCAGAGTTCTGCTCGAATACACGCACGTAGTCTCCGTACGTACACATGGACACATGTGTGCGTAGTGCAAATACCTACATCTAGTCTTCCTTTGTGTATGGTCGTAATATATCTACGGCGAATGTTCGTATATTTATATACACGTGTGTGTGTGTTTTTCCATATACCTACATCTAGTGCATCTTTTGCGCATGTTCGTATATTTATATACACGTGTGAGTGTCTTTTCATATACCTACATCTAGTGTATCTTTTGTGCATGTTCGTAAATCCATGTGCACGTGTGTGTGTCATGCACATACCTGCATTTGGTGGCTGTCAGGAAATGTGATTCCATCCGCGAGAGAACGCTATGGGGTGTTTTTAAGACACCGTTTAACATCCACGGTGTTTGCGACAGTTCCTTTGAGTACTTATTATACCTACACATGTGCGAATGGAAGCAATTATGAGGCACCAAATGCGTTGGTGTACGTTTACAAAGCTCAGTATACGCCTCACAGCACATTAATGTATCAGAGATATGAAGATACAGCCGCTCACAAAACTCCATATATGCTTATCGAGACATGAACGTATCAAAGATATGAAGAAATAAAAGCTTGAAAAATCTCATTACATGCTCATCAACACATGAACGTAATAAAGATACGAAGATTTAAACGCTATCAAACCTCAGAACATTCCTATCAATACATTAACGTGATAAAGATATGAAGTTTTAAACGCTATCAAACCTCAGAACATTCCTATCAATACATTAACGTGATAAAGATATGAAGTTTTAAACGCTATCAAACCTCAGAACATTCCTATCAATACATTAACGTGATGAAGATATGAAGATTTAAACGCTATCAAATCTCAGTATGTGCTTATGAACACATTAACGTAATAAAGATAGGAAGATATAAACGCTATATAATCTCAGTATGTGCTTACCAACACATTAACGTAATGAAGATATAAACGCTTACATTAACATATCAAAGATATGAAGATACAAACGCTTACAAATCGCAGCATATTCTTATCAACATATTAACGTAAATAAGATGTGGAAACATAAACGCTTACATGAACGCATCATAGATATGAAGATACAAACGCTTACAAATCTCAGTATATGATTATCAACACATTAACGTAATAAAGATGTAAAAAAATAAACGCGTACATGAACGTATCAAAGATATGAAGATATAAACGCTTGTAAATCTCAGCATATGCTTATCAAGCCTTATGTACGTGAGCTTGCTATCGTCGAAGACTACATGCCGCGAGCACAGGCAATCCAATATTAACGCACACAAACAATTATAAATGTGTGAATGATCATTGGTGTGTAATAGGGCATAACAATAGCACCCGATGGAGACTACAAACATACTTATATACATGTACACGTACATATATACATACATAAATACATATTAATACATACATACATACATACATACGTACGTACATACATACATACATACATACATACATACAAACATCCTATCGCAACAAACAACACCCCCCACCCAACACAACACAACTCACCTGCCGGCAATGTACACTGTCTGCATGCTGATAGTTACCGCAGGAGACGCCAGGGCCGTTGCTACGGGTGTGGGTGTGGTTGCTATGCAGGACTTCGTTGCGGCATTGGTTAGTTTGATCGCAGTCATAGTACTCAGACATTCGCGCATGTTGTTCCACCCAATCGGCTTAGGCGCTGTGTGGTAGGGCCAATGTAAGAGACGGTATATACAGTACTGATTATTCGGTTGTGCAGTGGGTTGGTTGTGTGTTTGTGTGTGTAGGTATGTGTCCGTGTGTATCTATTGTTTATGTACGTATGTATATGCATACATGTTCACGTGTGTGTATGTATGTATTCCAGTACATATAATTAGTGGGTGTATGTGCATGTGTATGTAAATTGATATTGCAGTTATATATCTAGTGTATATATTCGGATTCATATATATAGGAAAACGACACAAATATAAATCTCCTCTCCAAAAGGATGAGTTGCGTCGCCTGAGACACACACACATACAAGCACGCTCTCACACGACATCAAACACACATATCCACACTCACATACACAACCACACATCCCAAAAAAAATTACACACACATATATATAATCCCATACACAACCACACACACACACACACACACACACATATATATATATATATATACTACCACACAACACACACACACACACAGAATAA